GGAGAAGGTATGCTCCAATGGTCTCAGTTACTGTAGTTTCTCTTACATCTTTGCATGCAAGCGATTCTCTCGCAGCTACAGCTCTGCTGTGTGGGTTGTCATGGCAGTCTTTTCACTCCTCAGATTACTCATCAGCAGCAGTATTTGCCTCACATGAGGGAATATCATGTACTGGAATATTGGGCATGCTTGAGACCCTTGTTTTAGAGGCACTATCAAATCATGGTAATAATATGCAATTATTAAATTGAAGTCTTGCCCAAACTGATAGTTGAGTCAATCGACTTTCTCACTGATACCTCTTCTGTACCATTCACACCCAGGCAATCTCTGCTTGGGCCAGGGGTAGATGAGAAGGGCACACCTGTTGGGTGCCAGTGTGGGTATGCTCAGTGCCTGAGCAAATCAACTGTGACAGGGAAGACGGACATTAATAATACAGGCTGAGTTCATCGTTTTAATTGAGACTTACCATGTCTCCCATATCCAATTAAAAGCTTGGTAGAGTCCCAACAGGCGGAATTCAGTTGATGGAATTGCAAATCAGCTAGGACCACCGAGCTGACAGCCTTCATCAGCAGTGTCCCATCATCCTGGGGAATTTGTTTGACAGACAGTATAGCCAGCAGAACTGTACCCTTGGAGCACCATGCAATGCAAATGTGGGGTGTGTGCCATTTAGTCAGTCCCTAGTCCACTTGGCCTCCTCTCCAAGCACCAAGGCTTCTAACCAGAGTGTAGTACCCTGGTAGCCTGAGAGGGTCAGTCAGTCAGTATCTTTTCATCCTTTTTCAAGCTGTTGTTCAACCCAACACAAGTCGTGATGTCTTGGTTTTCCAAAATCTGTTATTCTCACCAGCAGTTCAATGGATGGATGTGAAAAAGGTGCTCTTTGCAGAGCAGGATCCTGATGGAGTGGGAGTTCAGGGAGACCATGGCAGCAGCCGCTCAGCAAAGGAAGGCTTTTTTGTATATTGTCACAAAGACTTTTGTTTTCTCTGTTTGGTGTTGACTTTGCATAATCAGTTTGTCAGGTCTAGCTCTGCTTTCTTCCCATTCTGCAGTGGCTTTCCTAAAGTTCAGCTAATCCATCATCTTCTCATATCACAGTTGCACAGCATTTCGCTGATATTTCCTGATTCTCTTCCTCCCTTGCCTTGTCAAGTGATATAATGTAAGTCTCTCAGTTATGAATGCTACTAATCTGCTGGTTTATTCTTGATTTTCAGATAGTAATCAAGGCTAGACGAACAACTGCCTAGTAAAAAACAAAAGTGAAAAAAAATTAATGGATTTACAAGATACACGGGTAACTAACTTCAACAGTGACCTTTATGAGCCTGAGAAATAATGGTGGGAGATCAGCTTGAGGAGTTCCAGCTTGTGGTATAATCTGTTGTCACAGCCACTAGATAATTCTTTAATTTACTTCTCCTAAAACTTTATCTTTTTTCTAAGAAATATTTTGATAAAACACAAAACAGAAAAAAAATCAAATTCTATAACAATAGATTCTGTGATTCTATTAATCACAGGAGTTAATAAGCTATTCTACATGGTGTATATGGCATCTTTCAAGCCTAAGCAAAAAAAATGGACTCCTATATAAGATCACAGTAGGTAATTGTTTATTATACCTTGCTGATGTTGCAGGAGAGCTCAAAATAGAAATGCTTAGGTGTGAGCCCAATCGGAGGCTCTCTTCTTACCACAGACTTCCAGGACAGCTTAGTAATAGGATTTTACCTAGTTTTTGAAGCAGGTATTTTGCTCTTAAAATGATCTAGATTTTTCTTTAAAATTGAATATTCTCCCTGGAATTTTACAAATTAAGATTAAAACTAGTTTATCTTGCTCTCCCACTCACCCGTTTTCCCTGTTCCAAAAAAAACACTCAGAGCAGAAACCTTAAGTAAAGAAAAAGATTTTTAGGGTGGGAGTGAGAAGGAAAGGATTGGGAGATATAAAGCCACAATTGGCAATCTTGCTCTCTCATATTTTATAAGACAGTAAAATCTGCATATGGCAGATGCTCTTTTTATAAGGGGAAAGAAACCCCTTGTAATTTAAGTCAGGATCTCTGGGACTCAGCTTGGGTGTGTTTTCAGATTTTTTTCTGGAAAGCATGTTTTAGTTTTGAAAACAAGCAATTCACTTGGCAGATTTTTAGAATGGGGAATTAAAATATAAAAGTCAGAATGCTATATAAACAGTGTCATGTAATAAATGCAGTATTGTTTGCAGGTGCTGGCTCTTGAGCTAGCAAAGGGATGCAAACCTGTTTCTTTTTAGCATGCTGCCAAGCCCCACTCTGCAGGATGAGACAGGATTAGAGGTTGTTCTGACCTCCAAAGACCAATTTTTTGCTATTTTCTGGCATCACTTACCATGTCTGATTTAATTTCCAGAGCTGACGTGTATTCAGCCCAGCGCAGGGTGAGACGTCCAGTTCCGCTCTGCGGTAGCGGGAAGATTAACGCTCCAGCTCCAGGGAGCCCTGGGAAAAGCCAGCACTGCTTTGAAACCCCCCGAGAGGCCTCAGAGCTGATCCTGTGGGGTGGTGTGTACAGAGGATGGAAGGACATCATGGTCTTCGGGCCTCCTAATTGATACTGCCAGGGAGTCTCCCTGTTGCATGACAAATAACGGGTGAAGCCAGATAGAGCATGATGGAACAGAGAAACCTACCCTCACCTTCCAATTTGCTGTGAGTTTGCAGTTAGAAGAATGGATAGAAAAGAGTAATTTAGATGGGGCAGCGTAAAGCTGAGCAGGCTCTGGATAAGTCTTCTAACAGAGAAGATAAGTACTTAGCTGATGATTTGGGAGAGCATTTCAGGGCTTGCATGAGGTTGGGATGCATGAGAAGAGAGAACAGAGCTAATGGTGCTGAGACAATGATCCTGAAGGGCAAAGTCAATCTTGGTCTTGTGAAGGGTGACCAGAGTTGTTAGGGAAGCGGAAAGGCTGTTTTGTCCTTGTCATTTTTAAGTTGATGATGTATAATGTCAACTGCTCTGAGGGGTGAGAAATACTGCAAAAAAAAAAAAAAAGAAAAAATAATTATCATCTAAAACTGCAGAGGATTCTGAAAAAAAAGGGTTTTTTTACTCAAACTTTTCAATTGTCTTTCAATTTTCCTCAACAGGAATTTTGATAAATATTTTAAATAAGTGTCTTTCTGGGGGAATGTTCCTTCAGGGGGGAAAAAAAAGAAAAAGGAAAGAGATGGTGAATGAAAGGAAGCTTTTTTTACCTGAAAAAGTTCTGTTAGTCCTGTGGGCATTAAAGCACAGGTTTTTTGCTTGAGAATATTAGAATGTACTTATTCTGGGAAGGGAACACTGCCAAAGACCTGGAAAAAAGCACAGGGCTAGGGAAGAAAGCCAAGAGGATGTGGGTAGTGCAGGTGGGTAACAAGAAGAAGGTGTGAAAAATCTCTTTGTGGTGAGAAGAAAAAAGAAAATTGAGATTACAGCTGCTGACAGTCTTGTCATTGTTTGCTTTGTAGAAGTCAGCTGGAGCTGCAGGGAGAAGGGAGCTGGTGGAGCACTTGGCACTTTCAGAAGGCGGGTGGGGATGGCAGCCTGTGCCAGTGGTGAGAGGACATGGCACTTGGCACCATTATGCTTCCTCCTGAGATGCTCTGCAGCATCAAACTGGAGGTGATTATAAGCCTAGCTTAGCACAGGCATGCAAGTGAATTACTCTGTGAATCCCAGCATAGCTTTTCAGACTAATCCAACAATTTACTGTATTTCTGCTTCATGGGCAGCAAATGCCCTGGGGGCTGCAGACCTTCCTGTAGCCAGAACTGAAACATGATCTGAATTGCTGGGTGTTGCTCTGGGTTATCACTTGTTCAAGGTGTCATCTGGGATCCATCTGCTAGTTGGATGGGTGGTGCAGAGGATGCTTACCACCTTGGTCAGGCCACTTCGCATTTTTCTCTTTATAACCAGAGCCCTGTGTGGGCAGGCAGGCACGTTCCCACCAGCTCTTTCTCTGTTCTGCTCCACACTAATCCAACCAGGCAGTGCACATGATGACATTGCTGCCTGCTCTGATATCCACTCAGTAACTCTGGAGAACTGGATCACTTAAACCTAAAGCAATTTTATTGCATTTCACTGCAAATTTCATTTCTTTCTGATCATTTGTTGCTGATTTTATTTATTATTATTTTTTTTTGGTTGGCCTGTGTATTCTACCTACAGTCTGAGAGCTTTTTACGCTGGCCATGAAAGTAATGATTTTCTCTGTAAAGAATCCTGTGGTTTCCTACAGCAAGAACTTTATCAGAATAAAATCAGAATCAGCTAATGGTAGCTGCAGGATTTGTAACAAGCACCTGAGCCATTTTCCTGGTTCAGTGGATTCTTTTTTCCATTTACTAGTTTTTCAATACACAGCATTAGTCTGAAGAGAAATAATTTCCTTTTAGAGTTACTCTAAACTGGAAAATACAGAAGTGTATTTGCAGCACTTCTGCGTAGCAGTGGTATTTTTGCCTAGCAGGACTCCTTCTGCCTGAGATGAAATCTTGCAGCCCCCTACAGATTTCACATAGCACCTTATGGAATGGAGAGAAAGCAGAAGACATTTTAAATTGAGAGGTGAACTCTTGCACAGTCGCTGCAAAAGCATCGCCTCGTGGCTAAAATCCTGCCCAGATGGAAGGATGCTGAGAGGAGGGAGAAGGGCTGCGACCTGCCGTTGCTCCTCTGACCGAAATGGGCAGGGAGCAGACCCCCACAGACCCACTTCTGCTGCTCAGGATAGAGAGTTCCTGTTTCCTATAGGTCTGCAAGAGTCTTGGTAGTTAAATCTTTCTATGTTTTTATCTTCCTTTCCTGCAGTGATAAAGGGAAACTTCCAGTGACTGCACATGGTGCCTTTGAAGAAGAGGAATTCTGCCATGTTTAGACCCATTTATACTGATGTCTGTGAAATTAGTTGGATCAATTTCTGTAATTTTCCTTTTTTCTACTCTCTTCCAGGTGCACACATTCAGGGGCCCGCACTGGTGTGAATATTGTGCCAACTTTATGTGGGGCCTCATCGCTCAGGGAGTAAAATGTGCAGGTAACAATCATTCCGTCTCCTTTTCCTAAGACTGGCCTTGTGTTGTAAGTGTGTCATGTGCTGCCTGCTCCACCGTAATACTGCATGGCACAGGTCTGATCTGGCCCCTATTAAAATTGAAGGAGGAAAAGTATCCACTCTGCTGCTGATAGTTTCAGGTACCTGTTTCAGTAACACCACTGAGGTGGTGCAGATCAACTCTTGAGTACTCAGGGAAGGGAAATAACGATCTTTAAGGAATTTGTTTTCTTCCCTTCTTTTAAAATGGAGGAGAAGATAAGTAGATGTATTGTTAGCTTTATTTATTTTATACCACTTGTATTTATTGGTAGGTGTGAGAGACTCGCTGAGGATCTTGATGTGCAGTGTGGGCATCAGCAAACTTCACTTTGCTGCTGTGGAACAGGCGTTCAGGTTCATGTTATGTGTAAGCCAGCAGACTCCCAATGTGCCACAGACTCTAAGTCATGTCTCCTACTTGCAAACTGAAAAGAAGAAAGTAAGAAAAGGGCTGAGGAATAAGGGATGCAATTTGAAATGTTACATCAACATTCAGGTGCTGGTAGAAATGTATTACACGCATGGATGTCACTGCAGGCAGTTCTGGGATAAAGCTTCTCTGAAGTAAAACAACTTGACAGTTTTCTTGATATGATTATTCTGAAAAGAAAGGACAGTCAGCTCTTTTCAAAGGCAAAAAAAAAAAGGATCAAAGTGATCAAAATAGTTTACTGTATTTAAAAAGCATTTTATGACATTCTAGCAAGCAGCCACATTTATAAAATGGTGCGAATAAATGTTGATGTATGAAGACCTGCATATGTTGCCCTGGAAACTAAATTTTCAAGCTAATTTGAGAAAATCTGCTCTGTCTAAAGCTTTCTGAAATCTTGTCTCAAGCAAATAAGAGGGCTTTTAATCACAGAACTGCAAAATCATGTAAAACGTCAAATAATTTATAGTGAAACAGGATTGAAATATTTTTAAATCCTTCCCCATAATAATTTGAAAGCAATATTCTGTTCTGCCAATAGACTCTGCACTGTCCAGGAAGCATTGGAGTGTTCAGCTCTGTTTTAAGGAATGATTATGTAGAAATGGTTTCCTTTCTCAGTATTTCCACCCACTAAGTATTTAGTGTTGCAGCCACATCCTTCACTTAGGAATTAAGACTGTCAGTACTTTTTACTGCTAGTGATTTTGCACAGGGTTCATAGTGCTAGAAGAGGAAGCCTAATTTTGTTCTTTGTTTTCTCATTAAAGTAGTCATTTTTTGATGACACGTGAGCCACTAAGTGTGCCATCTTCCTTCCTTGCCTGAAGTAAACTACTCAGTTTTGGCATTTAGGAGAAATATAAAGTATTTTTCAGATTTATGTTAAGTAACTTAGATCCTGAAAATCCATAAAAGTGAACACTATGAAGGCTTGCAATGCTGCTTGGCACTGTGGAATGAATGAATAATACTGCTTTTATAATTAAATCCAAAGTGCTTATGGTTTTGTACTGCTTTGGTTTTTTTGTTGTTTTTTTTCAAATACTGCAGAGCTGATTTTCTGGTTTTATGCAGATTTTTCTAAATTCTGAATTTCCAAAAGCTTCCAAAGTCTGTTTTTCTTTCCTCTCTACAGAGGATGGTATTAAATACTGCATTTTTCCTCCTTTCAGTGTAGAGGAACATATGTGTATTAGATGACTTCATAGGTTCAGGAACTATAATTAGTGCTTTCTATCTTGTGTAAGGTTTCATTTCACTGTTGGTAGCTTTCAGTAATTTCTGTGATCTTATTTTGATTTTAAAATCCCAAGTTGTATGACTGCATTTGCTTGCCAAAGCGTCAGCGAGGCGTTGGGGCAGAAGGAGGCTGAGGTTTTCTGGGTCACGCTCGAGGTCATTGGGCATAACCAGGCCAGTTGCTGATGTACAGCCTGGTCAGCCAGGGTGTGAGGAGGAGGAGGTGAGGAGCTGTGCTGCAGCAAGCCAAGAGAGCCCTGCTTGGGGCTGAGGAGCAAAAGAGCTGGGCTTTCCCAAGGGTCATGGTTGCAGATGATCCATCTTGCTTGTCCTCTGCTCACTGCAAGGCTGGCTTTTAGCTACTGGACAGCCTCAGGAATAACTGATGGAGAATGAGGGGCTTCCCAGATTATTTTGTTCTCATAAATTTCATAGAAAACAGAAGCTGAGCAAAGCAGAGGGACTCCAGGCAGAGCCCTGCAGAAGTTGAGACAGCAAGACAGGCTCAGCAGTGCCCTGGTCTGCCTCGTCTGTGCCTCACCTTCAGCGGTGCCTGCCTGCTTCCATCAGCTGGGGCTGTACAAGCCATCAGAGCCAGAAGCTGTTCAGATCTGGGCATTTTGGAGGAAAGCCGGAGGTGCACAGATACGCAGTGAGGACCCGTGCAACCGGTATTAACATACTAGTGTGGAAGAGCTCATGCTTGAGTGCCGTGAGTTTGGCTGAGTTTACATGGGTTTCAGAGTGTTGCTCTTCTTTTAAATAGTTTTGCTTCTGAACTGAGCCTTTTTAATGTGGAAATGATGAGGCAGAGTAAACAAGGAACCACAAGAGGCCATTGCTTTTCAGAATGGGTACGTACTTAAAAATATTACAGCTTTCAGCA